GTGCACGGAGCATCAGGAAGCGAGGGAGCTCAAGGGGCAGGCAGCTGAGTCTGGGGAGGCAGCTCAGGACTGAGGCCTGCTCCATTTTCTTGTTCAAGTTCCTCAGTCAGGTCCACCTTTTTAAGCTTTTTCTTTGTTGATGAAGTAATGAATCATTTTTCCACCCATAAAAATATGGAATACTTCATAAATTTGGGTGTCATCCTTGTGCACGGGCCATGCTACCCTTTTCTATATAGTTCCGGTTTTAGTATATGTGCTGCTGAAGCAAATACCATTCTTTTTAAGGTCATAATAATCCTGATGTAAGAAGATTGACACAGAAAGATAATGATTTGAGCAATTTTATTTCTTACTGGGAAAAGAAATGGCATAATTAGTAAAAAATTTGAAATAGAAAAGCCCCTAACGTTTCTAAATTTACTGTTCTGTGATTATTTCTTAGTCCAGTGTTCTTGACATGAATACAAAATAATGGTAAATAACCTACTTAATTCAAGGATATTAGATCTAAGTCTCTTAAATGGGAAAGTATCCTTTCATATAAATATATTTTCTCAATCATTTGGGTTCTATTTTAACTTGACTTTAACCTTCTTAAGTTGTACATATAAATTGTATATATTCTGTTTTTTATTATACTTTCTTATTTACACAATTTGAATACATTCTTTTTCAGACCAGATTCTTCCAATTTCCCCTCACTCCCCCATCATATTGTACAACCATCCCCTCCTGCACATACTCATCCCTCTCCTTCCACACTCTATCCCCCATTATCCTAATACTTATTCTACAATAATGATTTTATATAGTATTTGTCCTTGTGGGACTGAATCAGTTCACTCAGCATAATGTTCTCAGTCCCTCCCAAGCTAGATAATAATTTATGAAATCATTGCCCCTGCATGCCACATAGTATTCCATTGTATGAATATACCATATTTTCTCAATCCATTTGTTTGTGGTTGGACATCTGGGCTGTTTCCATGTTCTTGTGATGGTGGATAACACTGCTATGAACATTGGTGTACAACTCTCCATTTGTGCCTCAGTTCTCAATTTCTCAGGATGTACATATTCTTAAAGTAGTCACTATAGTCACTCTCTGTTGTTTTTATTGTTATTATTACCTTTATTTTGATTCTGACTTAGTAAAGAGTAGAACTGATTTCAAGGGTTTTCAAGGTATGGAATCAGATTGCTAGTCCTCTCTTCCAGGATGTCTTTAAGTGTGTTGAAACCAACAACCCTTCACCTAGGAGTCATATATACTCAACTATTTGCATACCCCAGGGACTTACATACTTAGGGAAAAATTTAAAATTACAGGGTCAAACAGCTTTGTAAATTAGTTGGAAGTACAATTACTTACCACTAAGCCACCAAAGCTCCCTAATAGATTTTTAGTGCCACCTTAACTTTTCATATTCTAGATTTGATTTAGTGGTCATATCAGAGAAAATCAACATTATTGCATGAGGGATTTCATTGTTGATGTTAGATGGATCTTGACTGAAAGCAGAGAATACCAGTAGTATGTCTGTTTATGGTTTAGTGACTACAAAGACAGGAAGACACTCCATGGTTTAAAATCAAGAAAGATGTATGTTAGGGATATAGCTTTTCTCCATTCCTAGTCAATCTATGCTGTGCAAATAATTTGAGAACCTAGACTCTTATGAGGAAGACTGACAGTGAGGGTCAAAGGAAAACTCATCAACAACCTGCATTATGAAGATGACACAGCCTTGCTTGCAGAGAATAAATAGTATCTGAAACACTTGCTGAAGAAGATCAAAGACCTTCAGTATGGATTATATCTCAACATCAGAAAACCAAAAATCTTCACTACTGGGCTAGTAGGTAGTATCATTATAGATATCGAAGAGACAGAAATTGTCAATTATTTCATCTTGCTTGAGTCCACAATCAACACTCTTGAAGCCATCAGCCATGAAATCAAAAGATGTATTTCATTGGGAAAGTCGGCTGTCAGAGACCTATCTAACGTGCTGAGGAGTAATGATGTCGGTTTGAAGAAAAATGTGCACCTGATTGAGGCCATAATCTTTTCAGTTTCTGGCTATGCATTTGAATATTGGACAGTATATCAAAATGCCAGAAGACGACCCAAAGCCTCTTAGTTGTCATGTTGGAGAAGAGTGATGAATATCTTATTGACTGCCAAAAGGACAAACTAAATATGTCTTGGAAAAAGTGTAGCCAGACTACTCGTTAGAGGCAAGAGTGGTGAAACACTATCTCATATACTTTGAGCATTTTGTTAGGCTGGACCAGTCTTTGGAAAATGATGTCATGCTTAGAAGACTGGAAGGTCTGTGAAGGAGAGGAGACCTTTAAATGAGGTGATTTACAAAGTGAGTTAAAGGTAGTCGTCGTCATTGTTGTTGTTGTTAAGTACTGTCAAGTCGTAGGTGACTCGTAGCGACCCTATGAACAAAAGACCTGAACCCTTGGGTGACTTTCATCCTTTCTCCCAGTTCGTAGAGTCTCCGGAGGCAAGGTATTTTGGAAGTGGATGCCACTCCTGCTTCCAAGCTTGTTTTAATTGAGAAGCTCCACCAAACACTGTCCACCATGGGTAGCCATTATCATATTTGACACATCAGTGTCACAGTGTTTAGCATTACAGCAACCACGAGGTAATACGAACTAGAAGAATGTGTGACCAAAAACAATTAAAAACAGGCCTGAGCTCTTTCTATGTTGTTGTTATGTGCCATTGAGTCATAGGCAACTCATAGTGACCCTGTGAACGGAAGACTGAACACTTGTATAACTTTCATCCTTTCTCCAGGTTCATAGGGTTTCTGGAGGCAGGTAGGCTGGAGGATATTAGAGATGATGAGGATAACACATGATAGGGCAGCGCTCAGGTCTTTTGTTCAGAGGGGCACTATGAGTTATAGTCAACACAATGGAACTTAACACAGCAGCATAAAACTTTATTCTTGAAATTCAGCTTAGCAAATGTATATTTGTACTTGATTTTGTCTACATCAGATACTGTCTTTGGGTCAGTATTATCCCTAAAGGATGAAATTTTGTTCTTGAAAGGTAAAAAAATAAGGGAGCTCTGGTGGCCTAGTGGTAAGAAGCTGCACTGCAATCCCAGAGGTACATGGTTTGAATCCACCAGATGCTCTGCTGGAGAAGGAGGGGCAATCTCCTCCTGTACCAGTCAGATCCGATTTGACGGTACACACACAAACATAATAAAATACAGTTTTTTTTAAAAAAAGGTAAAAAAATAAAATCCTCGCTATTACATAGTTTTTGACCTATCAAAATGTAATCTTGCCTAACGAAATCTTACTCTAGTGTCTTTTGTTAAGACAGATAAAATTTTATACCTTTTATTAAGATATAGTTTACGTAACCGTACAAATGATTCTTTTTTATATGTGTAATAGTTTTAATATTTAAATTTTTGGAGCACTGTCATCAGTTATTTTTAAATATTTTTTTCGCTTCAAATAGAAACCTTGTACTTCCCCCCCGTCACCCCCAAGCTTAACCCGTTAAGCAACTCCTGATTTACTTTTGTTGATCTAGATTCTGGACATTTCAAATGTGTGGAGTAAGACATTATGTAGTATTTTCTGACTGGCTTCTTTGATTTAGCATTATGTATTCTCCCCAAGACTGATCCATGTTGTAGCATGAAATCACTAATTCAGTTCTTGTTTTTCCCTTAACGTTAATAGTTATCCTTTAAAAATGTACAAGTCAGTAATTTTTAGTATATTCACGGAGTTATGCACTAATTCTAGAAAATATTTTAATTGAAATCCTATATGCATTATCAGTTCTGCTAATTTCATGTTTGGAATTTCTCACTTAGCATAATTGTTTTAAATTTTATTTTATTAATCTTAATGAACATTTACAGAGATTTTGGATTTCCATCCATTCATTGTTGCACTATTTTCTCTATCTGCCCTCCCAGTTCGTTCCTCTCTTTTTTCCCCCTTGGAAGTCTGTTTTAATTGTCCCATTGCCACAGTGCTTGTCAAAACTAGCTCTGATTAATCAGTCTCCTTTGTGAGTGTGTCCTTTGCCATTCCCTATCACTCCTCCCTGAGAGAGATTTCACCCTGATTCATAAGGAAAAAGGGACGACATACTCTCTTAGCTACTTCCTGCTGAAAAGGGACGCTGTAGGTTCACTTAGCATAATTTTTTAGGATTTATTCGTGTTGTAGCATGTGCAAATACATTTCTTTTTATATTTCACTGCATGGATATACCACATTTTATTTACCCATCTATCAAATTCTGTTATAAAAACTCCAAAAGAAATTGCCAGGTCAGATTATAATTCTTTCACTATTTTAACAGTTGCCAAACTATTTTTCAAAGCAAGGGTTCTACCTCCTTATGTTCCCACTAACAGTCCCATAGTCGTTTTCTCTCCATGTCTGCCAGCACTCATTATTGTTCATCTTTTATTAGCCAAGTCAGTGTGATTTAGTATTTCATTGTGGTTTTGATTTACATTTTCCTAATGACTTAGTGATATCAAACATCTGTTTTTGTTCATATTTACTATTCTTAGGACAAATATCTATTCAGAGCCTTTGATTGGGTTTTGTGAGGGGAGGTTTTGTTGTTGTTATTGCTACTTTAATCTCTTTGGACTTATTCTTTATATTTCCTAGGTAGAAAAATCACCAAATCTAAATAAAACCACAACTCCCTATATCAGCTCCCTATATCAGGAATATGATTTGTAAATAAGTTTTCTGATTCTGTGAGTTACGGTTTTTTATTTGGTGACTCCCCCCCTCCCCCGTGTTTGTTTCTTACTTTTCTTTGTGATATCATTTGAACCACGTAAAATTTTTAAAAATATTTATTAATTTTTATTTAATTATTATTTTTGTCTGTATACCGTCAAATCAGATCTGACTGGTACAGGAGGAAATTGCCCCTCGTTCTCCAGCAGAGCATATGGTGGATTTGAACCGTGTGCCTCTGGGATTGCAGTGCAGCTTCTTGCCACTAGACCACCAGAGAACTACATACAATTTTAATATTCTTATTGTCCTTTCAGTAAAATTTTACAGTGAAATTTATTTTTCCATTCATTCTTTCATTTAAATTTTGATTATGGCATTGTTTTTCTCACATAACAGCATTCTTTCTTCCAGCTTTTCCATGTGATCCTCTAGTACATTAATCTTTCTGTTCTCTTCTTTCTTGCCTTCTAAACATTCTCCCTGGGTAATTAACTGCTCTTTTGATAGTGCCTGATTTATTATTTAAGAAGTGTGCACCTTTCTCCTGTTATTGTTTACATTATAAGCATGTCTATTGTTTGACTGAATGTTGAAACACAGAAATGAGTTTAGTTCAAAGCTCAGAGTTACTACAGTCAACACTTTCAAGGTTTCTACTGTTCTTCAATAGACCAATAATTCTGGTCATCTTTTTCTTTTTCTTTTGCATTTTGTTCTTCATTTTCTCCTGCTCTGTCCAAGACCCTTTACTTTGATGCCTTTTAATAGGAGTGTCCAGCATTGGTCTAAAGGCAGTAGAGGTTGTAGTGAATGTGGTACATTAGTCCTCTGTACAAATTATTTCGTGGATCTTTGCTTTTCTTGGCTCTTTTTGGTTCCTCACAGGGAGAAACCAGCAGTTGCATCTCAGTTGGCCTTCCTCGCTGCTCGCAAGCTTTTAAGACCCTAGTCCCAGAAGACCAAAGTAGAATGTAGAGAACACGGTCTTTGTAGACTTTGTTAAGCATCTTGTCTTTTAATATCTCCTGAGGGTATGAGGTCCTGTGACTAGCAACTCATTCCCTTAGGGCTTTGGATATGATGAAGAAATGTATGTAGCTTTTACACTGTTTACCACATATATGGACATTTACAAATACGCATGTAGACCTATTGTCTGAAAACCTGAGCATCACCATCAGAGCGGTCTCTTCCACTTGTCCTTATATCTTCATCTTGCTTTTTATAGATAAATGATTATTGTTGATAATATTGGTAATTCAAGATTGTGCATATAATGTTTACCTTTGATTTGTCTCTCTCCTCTCAACCCCTCAAACAAAATTTTTTAAAGAATTTGATGTCTAATTTACCTGTTTTTTCTTTAGTATTTATACTTCTGTTCCATGTCTTGTTCCATTGCTTATTCCAAAATCCTGAAAATTTACACCTTAATCTTGCTGAAATTTCAATAATTTCATCTTTTGAAGTATATGATCTTTTTGAGTTACGTTTTATACTGAGGAAGATACCAAATTTTACCATATCGTTTCTTGAAAAGGCGATTGTTTCCCTGATGAATTTTCTTGATGCCTCTCTTAAGACTGTAAATGAGAGGGTTTATTCCTTGAATGTCTGTTTTGTTCCATTTAAGTTATTTTCTCTCTATAGACATGATCATTATTTTGGCCAAAAGTATTTTATTCCATGTTTAAAGGTTAACTGAGGGCTGTAGCCTCAGGGGTCCCACCAGGCTCTGTCTGACCAGTATACTTGGCCGTCTTTAGATTTTGGGTTGTTTTATGTCATTTGATTAGGGTTTTCATCCTCATTTTGTTTCATATTGCCCCCAACTTCATACAGGGCCTTCTACTGTGAACCCTTTTAAAATGATCAGCAGGAGTAGCCAGGACTGTCTACTTCCAATCTCAGTGTTATAGAGGTTGAGAATTGAATGGTCCCTTGTCAGAAGTGTCATTGCCAAATATCTTTTCCAAATCTGTAGGTTCTCATTTTACATTTTAGGAGAGGTCTTCTGTTGTGAGTGAAGGCTTCATTTTTAGTGGTTTCTAATTTTCTCAATTATTCTCTGCTGATTGTACAAATTTGGTTGTGTTTAATAGTCTGTGCCAGTAAAGTGAAATGTTTAATTTAAATCTAATGTTGTTAAATGCAAATAGTCAAATACACATTTTTTCTTTTTCCTTTAGGTGAGTGCTCCAGTTGTAACATCTACCACTCAGGAAAAGCCAAAAGATAGTGATCAGTTTGAATGGGTGACCATTGAGCAATCAGGAGAATTAGTTTACGAAGCACCAGAAACCATAGCATCTGAACCTCCACCTATCAAGTCAGCAGTACAGACCATGTCTCCTATACCTGCACATTCTTTGGCTGCCTTCGGATTATTTCTGCGCCTTCCTGGCTATGCTGAAGTATTACTGAAAGAGAGAAAACATGCCCAGTGTCTTCTTCGGTTGGTTTTGGGAGTCACAGATGATGGAGAAGGAAGTAAGTATTGACTGGTAATAAATTTACCAATACATATATAGGAAGTTCTGTGTTATTAATTACATTTATGATCTGTGTAAAGCTGTCTAATTCACTGTGTTTTTCTTTCATCATCAAGTTACTAGGTAATTTTTTGTTGTTGACTCAGTTACAGTGTTGAGCACACATAGTAAATTATGGAGAATTTGTGTTTACTTATTTCTTTACTGAGTCAAAAAGGATTCAGTGAGTGCTTACTGAATTGGTAGGCCTCAATAAAAGCATTTAAATCAGGTGTAGATTCTGACATCAAATAGCGAAAGCAGTGACAGTGGAAGTATGTTGTTGTTGTTATGTGTCGTCCAGTCCCTTGTGACTCATAGCGACCCTATGTACAACAGCCCTAAACTCTGCTTTATCTTGTGCCAGTCTCACTGCCTCTGACACACCCATCCCAATTACCCCAGTCACTGAATCAATCCACCTCATAGAGGATCTTCCCCTCTTGCGCCGTCCCTCCACCCTCCCAAGCATGATGACCCTCTCCAAGGACCTCTCCCTCCTTACAACATGTCCAAAGTATGTCAGACGAATTTTCGAATCCTTGCCTCCAAGGAGCAGCCTGGTTTAACCCTCTCTAGGATGAATCTGTTTGTTTTCTTGGCAGTCCATGGTACATTCAATACTCTTCTCCAGCACCACAGCTCAAAGGCATCAATTCTCCTTCTATCCTCCTTAGTCATTGTCCAACTCTCTGATGCATAACAAGTGATTGCAAAGACCATAGCCTGTATCAGACACACCTTAGTCTCCAGAGTGACACCATTGCTCTTCAGTACCCTGGAGTGGTCCCCAACAGCAGGCTTTCCCATCGCAATACGTTCTTTTATTTCCTGGCTACTGGTGCCAAGAATGTTGATGGAAGTATAGTTCTGAAAATAAGAAAAGCAATGAGAGTAGTACATATTACAAAGGTTCATAGTCATGAGAATATTTTTTTACTGTTGTAAATGAAGTGACAGTAATTTTGAATGGAGCCTTAGTCTTGATTTAAAGAAGATTCGATTTAGATAACTGAATTATTTGTGAAAGAGGAAATGTTTAGAGCAGTATTTGGCAGCTCAGAACTTAGCAGATAAGGGCAGTAAATTAGTTGATGAAAATTCGCATGAAAGGAAACATGAAGAGCTAGTTTACAAGCTAATATTAGTAACATCATGGAAAGACTCATTAAGAAACTTTGATTCTGTTTGAATACCTTGCAGATTTATGAAAACTTAACCCATAATGGTCGTGTGATTTATCTCTGACTGCTTACTAAATAATCAATTGCTTTGAAAATGAATAGTTTCCAATTTTATTTTACATTTCATTATTTTAATGTGTAGTAATTTTTCAGACATGTCATTTAGTATATTTAATAGAACAAAGTTACGTTATTTGTGGAATTCTCAAGCATTGAGGTGACCTATATATAAAAACTACTCTTTTTTGTCACATTGATTAAATTTTGATAAATACTAGCCTTGTTTTACATTTTTTAAAAAATAATGGTTATTCAGTTATAGCATTTTCACACAAAATAGTCCTAGTTGTTTGACACAGGGATTTTTAGTTATTTTATCTGGGTGGTGGTGCTATGTGGATAAAAGGGTCAAACTGTTGTATTGTAGAACTCTGTTTCAAAATGGTAGAGTAAACCCTCCGCAGAAATAAACAGATTGCCTTTGTGCCATCTCAGGCTATTTTTTAAAGCCTAGTCTGATAGACTTTTCTGTCTGTATTTTATTCACTCTTCATGTAGTACTGAGTTTTGGCCTTTTTAAAAGTATTACTATTCTTCCTATGGCTTTGACTTATTTCGTGGCTCAAATGACAAAATTTTATATCACACAGTGATTATGAATATATAGTTCTGTGTGCATATTTAGCTCCTTCCTTTTTTAAATGGTTTTTTGTGTGTGTGCATATGTGTGCTCTTCTCTTTTCAACTAGGTCATATTCTACAGTCACCATCAGCCAATGTGCTTCCTACCCTTCCTTTCCATGTCCTGCGTAGCTTGTTTAGCACCACACCTTTGACAACTGATGATGGTGTGTTACTGAGACGGATGGCACTGGAAATTGGAGCCCTGCACCTCATTCTTGTCTGTCTCTCTGCTTTGAGTCACCATGCCCCACGAGTTCCAAACTCTAACCTCAATCAAACAGAGGTATGTTTTGAGGGTATGGAAGATCTATAGTTAATTCTCCAAGTATAGAATAAATATTTTTCTGAATTGAATATTTCAGAGATGGATTTATTCTTCTCTTGCTCTTAAAATAGAGATTACTTAAAGAGAAACGAAATTATTTAGCTCCAAAAACCATAAATTAGCCAACATACATGAAAACTGGAAAAAAATTTAAATGGAGTAATCATTATCTTTTATCAGGATACATTAATTAATTCCATACTATAACAGTTTTATTTTTCTTAATCTTTAGAGAATGATAGCTTATTGAATGGGAATTATATGTTAGTACAGTAGGACAAGGAAAGGGAGAAAAAAGCATTTATTTTTCTAGATGATTTAGTTGTCTTCATAAACATAGTTGACTATTTAAGTATGTTTCACTCAATCTGTCATTGCCATTGGTTCAGAACCAACTCATAGCTAGCCCTCTTTTGGCTTTCCGAAGCTATAAGTTGCCTGGAAGGAGTTTGCCCATCCTTCTCCCATGGAACTACTGTTTGATTCAAACCACCACAATAAGGTGATATTTGAGTTAGCCCCACAGCTCTCTACAAGCTGGTATGTTTGCCAGGGGGATCATATACAAGGTCACTATAAGAAAGTCAGTTGTTATGTACTAACAAAAACTTGAGTTTTATTTTTTGAAAAAAATTTTTTAACAGCGACTAGCATCATAGAAATTACTTCCGGATGAATTTTAAAAGGTATTAGTATGAGCTTTCTGCATAAAATGCATGTAATTTTAAGAAGGAGCACAAGTTCATAATATTATTGGATCTGTACCCATGTCCATACTTCATAGGTTAAAGATAACAACTGTGCAAAAAGTATGATTTATTCCAAAATTGATCCTTTTATTTACTATTTTCAGATACATTTTAAAGGAAATTGACAAACTCTTTATAGTTATTACATCAAATTCAAAGGTTCAATAATAAAATTATTCAAAACAAACCAAGTCTGATAGACTTAGACTTTTTAAAAAATTATTTTATTTTCCATTTCAATGAACATTAACAGGGATTTTGGAATTCCATTCATTCATTGTTGCACCCTTCTCCCCGCCCACACCCCACCCCTGTTTGCTCCTCTCCCTGAAAAGCAAAACTCCTGCATTGGTACACAATACCCCCCACACCTCCCCCAATCCCACCCCCAACCCCAAATATAATCCACTCTGCAACCCTCATTGCGTACTTCTACGATAAACATAATGCCCTAAAATATAATACTTTTATATATTTAGATTAATTAGTATAAGTGCAAGGGTATATTACTACCCTCACAAACAGAATAAAAGAACCAGAATCAGATTCACCTGTGTATGGTCACCTATAATATAATGTAGTGAGAATGATCATTAAATTTTTCTGGGTCAACTCAATATTCATATGGAATAAAACCGATTCTTTAAAGTATATATGGGGCCCAGGTGATATTGGGTACAACCTGGTGGAGGGTTGCTTTGCATCAGATTTGTTTCTATGGCAGTGAGTTTTTTGACGGGTTCCTCCTCCTCCCTTTCTTCCTGTATTCTGTATAGAAATACTAATCCCGAATGGAAAGTAGAGATAAATCTGTACAGTATATTTTTAATGGGTGAGTAAAATAGTGAATCACAACGATCACATGACAAAGCTCTTGGGGTCTTATTAAAAACTACTGACCTATAAAAAGAACAAACTAGGATTAGAAGAGACAAGTACATTAAAATTAAATCATTTCTTTTCCATTAAACTATTCTGAAAGTGTGAAAAGATAAGCTAGAGACAGACTAGAAGAAGGTATTTTGGTTACATATATATGATAAAAATATTTAATGAATATAGAGAAAGGTAATTAAAAAAGGAGAATAAGGGGAGCTCTGGTGGCCTAGTGGCAAGGAGCTGCAACTACAGTCCCAGAGGCACACGGTTCGAATCCACCAGACGCTCTGCCGGGAAAAGGAGGGACAATCTCCTCCTGTAC